ACACTACTCTCAATTCTTGCAGTGGCATCGTAGTTTTACCGTGTATCATTGTACATTATGATTTTTCTGTCTTGCAGTGACGATATTTTGGAGCAATTAGCCATTCAGGACCTTCCAGTTCTCAAAGTGGATGCATGTGTCCTGCCCACTTGTGGGTGGAGGCGCTTTCCCAGTAACATCGCCTGCTTAACCTTAGACTGCCGTGAACTCCTGTCCTCCGTTTATATTGCGGGCCATCGTCTAGAGGTCCATAAAGTGGTCCCTACTCCCCAAGTGTCGAAATTGATGGCACCTTGGACACACTGCTAAATACTACAGATCTGTGGAGGAGTGCCTGGTCTGTGGTGCCGCAGATCATGCCAATACATCTTGCAGTTTTCCCCCCACTTGTCTCAGTTGCAATGAATTCATCCTTCTTTTTCCCGCCGATGTCGGGTCTATCGTAATGAACGAGAAATTCATTGTCTTAATGAGAGCCAAGTTATGCTATGGGTGTTTCTTGGCTTTGCCTTCAGGGGAATCTTCCTCGTGTTCCTTATTCTCGAGTAGCTAGGAGACCTCCAACCTTGACGGTCCCCCCGCCTACCAGCTCCTCTAGTGTCATGTGTTCCGGGGTCACCCCCATCTCTAATTCTTTTGCGGTTTTACCCTCTGAAGCCCCCCCCCACCTCCTTATCTCTTTCTACCTATACCTCCTCTTCTTGCCTGGCAGTTTCTCAGTCTGTGAGGCCTTGCATGCCTGCACCTTCCGCCAAGTTGTATGCCATCCTCATAGTGCTTCTCTGTATTGCATACATGTCTCCTTTGGCATTTGTCATCATTTCAGACTTCCTCAGTGCTTTACAGGCCATTAAACAATTTGATTCCCCTCATCCAGTGGTGCATTGGTTGCTCCGTGTGGCTACCAAAAACGAAGACATCATTTTCTGTTGGGCCCCTGGACATGTTGATGTGCAGGGCAGTGAACAGGTGGATGCTGGTGTGAGGTCAATGATGCGTGACCTTCCTGTTTTCTATAGAGATATTCCATTCAGAGATTATTTTACAGTCACCTCAGCCCATCTTCAAATGTGGTTGAACATGCACTGTAACAAATTAATCTATTAAACCGCTTTTAGGTTTGTGGTGGTCTTAATGCCGTTGTCATTCCCAAAAGACTGCACTCTCCCCTCTCCGCATCGGCCATACTTGTCTTGCCCATGGGTATCTCATGGAACGACACCCTGTTCCTCTCTCTCAGGTTTGTCTGGATCCTATTTCGGTTCTTCACTTTCTTGTGGATTGTCCGGTTTACTAGCAAGCTAACGGGATTTCCGCCGCCGCCGCCCTACTGTTCTTACCTTGTCTTCCCTTCTTTCAGACGGCCCTGCCTTTGACTTATGATCACTTTTTGAATTTTGGTCAGCAACTGTTTTACTATGCAAACTTTGATGCATAGCCCCTAGCATCTCTTTCAGCCCTTTTTCTACCCTTACCTCTGATCCCCTCTCCACCTAGCTGTTTATAGCCCGGGCACTATTTTCTGCCCCGCAGCACTGCATGACCCTTGTCAGTTTAGCGCTTTATTATTTGATTATAAAAATGCAATGTCTCAGTTTTTCTTAGGACAGAGTGTCATAAACAAAAATTATTATTTTTTTTTTTATTCGCCGGTATTCTCCCGGCCCGGGTCTTTTCCAAGTAGTGGTGACCTGGCCTTGGCTCCCTATCTGGGGAGTATCTCGAGACCTAAGTCTCCCATGGGAGGAGGTACAAGTACCCCCTCATCTTTGGGACTAACTGTCCCCAGGCCTAGCCACAGTCCCCGCCCTTATGGGGTTCGTAGGGAGAAGCTAGGCCTCTGGTCTGCCATCTACTCCACCCCAAAGGGGCTCGTGGGGATGGCAGTCTTATGAGCTGCAGATGGTAGCAAGCTCTTATACCTGACATTGTATAAGAGGTGGATATCATGCTTGCCTATAGAGGGACTTAAACCAAGCATTTTTTCTACTTTATTCACTATCAGTTCACCTGGCATGCACGGGTCAAGGATATTCCTATTCTACATATTTCACTAAAGAGGCTGTTGAGATGGGCTTTTCGTTAAAAGTACATTAAAATTATTTACTCTTTTCAGTGTACCTTTTGAGCTAAGTAGTATGGCTTAGTTTTATAGGTGTAGCAACAGTTTATCTTTAACTATTTATTGCAAGATTATAGTTCCAGTCATTGCCATATTGTGTGGTTATTTTCCTAACACTTGAAAGTACACTATCATTTGCTTACATGAGGAGTTTGCATTTAATACTAATGGACATTTAATTTACATAATGCAAGAAGAGAAGGAGGCTCGATATACACTCTCATTTGGAACCCCCCACATGATACCAGCAAATGCATTTTGTAGGTCTGAAGTGACTATCATGCCCATGAAATTCCTTGACATTTGGATTCCTGTATAATCCATCATGTTAGTTAAGGAGGTATCTATTGAATGAACTACCCTGAAACTGGAGGATGACAGTGTCATTAAAATACTGTACTTAACTACAGTACAATATTTCAATACTCTTCCAAGGCTTCAAGTATCTTATTAACATTGGAGTCATTGAGTCATTTCATATCAGATATACAATAAGTTAATTTATCTAATTGATGCAAAATGTACGTACAATCTTAAGATTTCTGATATCTTATCATTAATAATGAGGTGATCCTCCATTTCTCATAGGATCTGTTTGGATGTATGTACATTATCTCTGAGGGGTTAAATATTTTGGACCTTCTAAGATAGTGTTTGAGTGTGTGTGTTCCTGTCTTGGCCCCCCACATCACATTTGATATGATTGAGTTCTCTATACAAACTGAAAGGCCGACCCATTGTATATACATGTATACTTGAAAATGAAAATGAACTAGGTTTAGAGTGCAGTGCCAACAACTGGTCTTCTGATCACGTTACTTTCTCAGTATGGATATAAGTCACTTTCTGTGACTTTGGGTTATCCTAGGTAATTGACACACATGTTAGGGTGATAGTGCTTAACTAATTCAGTTGGCTATAACTTCATTTTCTTTGGGTTCTTGGTTTGTATCATGTACAAAGATGGTGACCTAGTTTTCATAAGTTACCAAGAGGAGGATTTTGTCATTGCATAAAGAATAAAGATTTTATTTCTTTGTGAAGGTTACAGTGTGTAATTACACTTTTGATTTGCTAGTTACAAAGAAAGCCACTATAATGTCGGGGTATTTCGGGCAGACTAATCCTACTAGTACATAATGCCTACTTAAATCTAGACAAGATGAGAGTGGTTAACTTTTATTAAAATCTTTATTTAATCTTAATACTAATGTGAGGTAGTCAAGGTGGAGGCTTATTGTTCTTATAATCTTGAAGTTGCACATAATAAAAACAATATTACAAATAATGGTTCAAGCAGTAATATTTCATGGATTGGCAGATGTTTAATAGACTAGAGGTCATATAATAACTGATTAGAAGTTGTTTTGGTTGGCTTGGTTAGTATTGAGAGATGATTTTTAAGTGAAGTCCTAAATTTATAAGTAGTCAGGGGAGACAATCCATTGTCTATATAGGCAGACCCTGTGTGTACCACTGTACAAAAATCGTTTTAAGTGAATCGGCTTTTTTTCACTTTCAAATGAATATATTAAGTGAGCAATAGAGCTAGGTCTAAAAAATGCATATACAGTACACTCCTTAAAATATTTTTGTCCTTGGCTTTTAGTGAGTGGTGAATATATTTATTGTAGGAAGTCTGAATAAGTGAAACAGAGTATAAATGAAAACTGCTGTATTAGTGAAACTCTGTAAAGCAGTGCTGTAAAGCAGAGCCCTCCTGTATCCCATGTGTTAATTGAAATTCAGCATGTGTTATTTTTCCCACTTATAATGATCACTCATATTTATTGGTGGTTTATGCTAAAGAAATGTCCTAATGTCTTTTACTTATGTTGGTAGAGAGTTGTCAGTAGTTGTACTTATGTGCTCATGTATTCTGTAATTTTTCTGGCACATTTTATTGTGCAATACCTTGTAAGAACTGATCGGAAAACTTTACTATTGAGATAATTACACTTTTAAAATATTCACACCATCCAGCATGCAGTATACGTCCATTTGTGAAGGCTCACCTTCTTTCTCGCATTCCTATAGTATGTACAATAAGGCTTTGTGCCTTAATATCCAAGCACTAAGTGGGTTTTTTTTTTTTTGTAGTACTCTCTCTTCATATTAACACTATGAAATGTCACTTTTAGACTGCCCAAAATGATGTACATAACCAGGGGCTTTTCAGAAAATATGAAATAAATATCACTTAATTTTGTAATAATTACAGTATGTATTGTACATTTTGAAAATAAAATTGGATTTTTCCTCAGTCTTCACATTCAGTAACTGTTCTTTTTTATTTAGCAGTAGTAGCCTCATTAACATTTTGTGCAGGTGATAATCTGTACTAGTAAAATACGTATATAGTTAATGCATGCATTGGACTGCATCCTTTTCTTAGCACCTCCAGCATTGCTAGTATTCCTCTTGGATGCTAAAGTTAGCCTCTGGAGACCAGGTAATAATGAAAATATCCAAAATAGCTTGATAGTGATGAAACACACACTCCCAGAATGTAACTGTATGTGACATGCATTTTCAGTGGAAAGGAAGAGTCTTTTACTACAAAGTGTGGTACCTCAAATTCTTTTCTTAACCTATTAAGATAGCAACAATATTTGGAATGTTAGCTAACTTTTTAACACGTGATGACATGTAATATCAAGATTTTTATGTGCTATGAAAATGTTTGGTCGCACTTTATTGCACTGAAACGAAATAGTGCTTTGTGAAGTTGCTCTGTACGAGGCTTTACTGTATATTTTACACAACATTTGGGACTGACCTGGTGTCTGCTATTTATACTAAACGTATATCATTACTGTTAACCTGTGTTGTCTGGTTATTAAAGTGGAAAAATAATTGCTCTCATGCTCATTTTCAGAAAGTGCTTTGTTGGCTATAAGTAGTGAAAGGTTCAGTTCCAATACAATATACTGTACTATAATCATCCTTCTGGAAAACTATGGGTAAGTACAAGTGACTATATTTAGGATACAGTATAGTGTTTGTTCTCTTTTTGAGGAAATTAAAACTGATTTAATTTATTTTTATAGAGTACTGTACAATTGTATTTATAAATAATAGTTTAGCATGTCATGTAGTCAGGTTCTATGAAGGTCCTAGTACTTAAAACAGACAAAGTATTTATGCTATTATCAAATTGTGCAGCTAGGGCTAAGTTGCCTTATTGTACCAAATACACAAGCCTGTTTCAAACATTGCGATCCCAAAGCAGGTTTGAATAATCTTCCTTCACTTTTGGCTACCTACATCTAATAGGGCTTTCATCCTTGACTGTATACTTTATTATTAGTCATACATGTTATACAATCATTTCTGTTTATTAAAAGAATATTTTGGGGACAAAACATGTCTGCTTGTCTTTTTTTAGAGGAAATTCATTGGAAACAGGCAGTAGAGGTAGTGCATGCGGTTGTTAGAGCATTTGAGAATTTATTAATCAGTGCAGTGTACTGTACATAGATTTAAATGTAGTGTAAATGTACTACATCAGTAGCATGGGTGGGATGATGTAGTTTGGTGGGTCATCTGAGCTGTGTTGTCAGCACCCTCCTGGCAAGACGGTGGTCAGCACCCTCCTGGCAAGACGGTGGTCAGCACCCTCCTGGCAAGACGGTGGTCAGCACCCTCCTGGCAAGACGGTGGTCAGCACCCCCCTGGCAAGACGGTGGTCAGCACCCTCCTGGCAAGACGGTGGTCAGCACCCTCCTGGCAAGACGGTGGTCAGCACCCTCCTGGCAAGACGGTGGTCAGCACCCTCCTGGCAAGGACGGTGGTCAGCACCCTCCCGCAAGACGGTGGTCAGCACCCTCCTGGCAAGACGGTAGTCAGCACCCTCCTGGCAAGACGGTGGTCAGCACCCTCCTGGCAAGACGGTGGTCAGCACCCTCCTGGCAAGACGGTGGTCAGCACCCTCCTGGCAAGACGGTAGTCAGCACCCTCCTGGCAAGACGGTGGTCAGCACCCTCCTGGCAAGACGGTGGTCAGCACCCTCCTGGCAAGACAGTGATTGAATGAGTGACACTGAAATTTTTTTTTTGTTGTTCTTTGTTGGATCACCCCACTTTGGTGGGAGACAGCCAGTACTTAAAAAATGTGATATAGTAGAGTATAGCACAAATTAGTTCTTAATGCTACCCTTCATTTTTCCAGGTGGTTCGAGTGAAAATACTGGTGACAGGCTCCGGAAAGTTTGTCCAATATGCAGAGTAAGTTTGAATAATTCTTGTTCTCACTCTTTATATGATACTGTAGCTAAACAGACATTGGTACAATGTTTTATAAACAAGTGAGCTCTTTTGGGCGAGTATAGGTAGATAGTAATAAGTTTGCCTCGTGATAGTTGACGGAAGTTCGAGCCTCCATCATTTTTCTTTATGCTGAATAACTCGCATGGGTTTGGCATTTTGCATAATAATAATAATGATAATATGCACAAGTGAGCTTCTATCAAGTACATACACTGTACATGGTGAATCCTACTCATTGGTTAAACGTTGTACAATGAAGACTTCTGCATTAATTATGTTTACAGCTTGTCAGCATTATGCCTTTATTCAGTGCAGTGTGGCCCTGCTTATATAACAGGTTTAGGCTGTAAAGCAAAAATCACTAAAATGGAACATAGCCTTTTTTAATTTTCAAATGTATATAAAAGTCTGATAACATGTTTACACTATATTAAGTGAACAATAGAGGTAAACCTAAAAAATGCATGTACAGTGTACACACACACACACACACACACACACACACACACACACACACACACACACACACACACACACACACACACACACACACACACACACACACACCCCACACACACACACACACACACACACACACACACACACACACACACACACACACACACACACACACACACACACACACACACACACACACACACACACACACACACACACACACAGAGAGAGAGAGAGAACTGGCAGGGAAGCCAGTTAATGAGATGATGGAATATGTAGCAACAAAATGCAAGGAGGCTGAGGAGAGGTTTGTACCCAAGGGTAACAGGAGTAATGAAAAAGCCAGGATGAGCCCATGGTTTACCCAAAGGTGCAGGGGGGCAAAAACCAAGTGTGCTAGGGAATGGAAGAAATATAGAAGGCAAAGGACCCAGGAGAATAAGGAGAACAGTCGTAGAGCCAGAAACGAATATGCACAGATAAGAAGGGAGGCCCAAAGACAATATGAAAATGACATAGCAGCGAAAGCCAAATCTGACCCGAAACTGTTGTACAGCCACATCAGGAGGAAAACAACAGTCAAGGACCAGGTAATCAGGCTAAGGAAGGAAGGAGGAGAGACAACAGGAAATGACCGTGAAGTATGTGAAGAACTCAACAAGAGATTCAAAGAAGTGTTCACAGAGGAGACAGAAGGGACTCCAGAAAGACGGAGAGGTGGGGCACACCACCAAGTGCTGGACACAGTGCACACAACCGAGGAAGAAGTGAAGAGGCTTCTGAGTGAGCTAGATACCTCAAAGGCAATGGGGCCAGATAACATCTCCCCATGGGTATTGAGAGAGGGAGCAGAGGCGCTATGTGTACCCCTAACAACAATATTCAATACATCTATCGAAACAGGGAGATTGCCTGAGGCATGGAAGACAGCAAATGTAGTCCCAATCTTTAAAAAAGGAGACAGACATGAAGCACTAAACTACAGACCAGTGTCACTGACATGTATAGTATGCAAAATCATGGAGAAGATTATCAGGAGAAGAGTGGTGGAACACCTAGAAAGGAATGATCTCATCAACAGCAGCCAGCATGGTTTCAGGGACGGGAAATCCTGTGTCACAAACCTACTGGAGTTCTATGACATGGTGACAGCAGTAAGACAAGAGAGAGAGGGGTGGGTGGATTGCATTTTCTTGGACTGCAAGAAGGCGTTTGACACAGTTCCACACAAGAGATTGGTGCAAAACTGGAGGACCAAGCAGGGATAACAGGGAAGGCACTACAATGGATCAGGGAATACTTGTCAGGAAGACAGCAGCGAGTCATGGTACGTGGCGAGGTGTCAGAGTGGGCACCTGTGACAGCGGGGTCCCGCAGGGGTCAGTCCTAGGACCAGTGCTGTTTCTGATATTTGTGAACGACATGACGGAAGGAATAGACTCTGAGGTGTCCCTGTTTGCAGATGACGTGAAGTTGATGAGAAGAATACACTCGATCGAAGACCAGGCAGAACTACAAAGGGATCTGGACAGGCTGCAGACCTGGTCCAGCAATTGGCTCCTGGAGTTCAATCCCACCAAGTGCAAAGTCATGAAGATTGGGGAAGGGCAAAGAAGGCCGCAGACGGAGTACAGTCTAGGGGGTCAGAGACTACAAACCTCACTCAAGGAAAAAGATCTTGGGGTGAGTATAACACCAGGCACATCTCCTGAAGCGCACATCAACCAAATAACTGCTGCAGCATATGGGCGCCTAGCAAACCTCAGAACAGCATTCCGACATCTTAATAAGGAATCGTTCAGGACCCTGTACACCGTATACGTTAGGCCCATATTGGAGTATGCGGCACCAGTTTGGAACCCACACCTAGCCAAGCACGTAAAGAAACTAGAGAAAGTGCAAAGGTTTGCAACAAGACTAGTCCCAGAGCTAAGAGGTATGTCCTACGAGGAGAGGTTAAGGGAAATCAACCTGACGACACTGGAGGACAGGAGAGATAGGGGGGACATGATAACGACATACAAAATACTGAGGGGAATTGACAAGGTGGACAAAGACAGGATGTTCCAGAGATTGGACACAGTAACAAGGGGACACAGTTGGAAGCTAAAGACACAGATGAATCACAGGGATGTTAGGAAGTATTTCTTCAGCCACAGAGTAGTCAGTAAGTGGAATAGTTTGGGAAGCGATGTAGTGGAGGCAGGATCCATACATAGCTTTAAGCAGAGGTATGATAAAGCTCACGGCTCGGGGAGAGTGACCTAGTAGCGATCAGTGAAGAGGCGGGGCCAGGAGCTCGGACTCGACCCCCGCAACCTCAACTAGGTGAGTACAACTAGGTGAGTACACACACACACACACATATATATATATATTACCTACTTTAAAATATTTACATCCTTGCTTTTTAGTGAGTGGTGAATATATTTATTATAGGAAGTCTGAATAAATGAAGAATGGGTATACGTAATTGAAAAACGCTGTATTAGCAAAATGGTGTAAAGCGAAGATCTGTATAGCGGGACCTTCCTGTTTATGGGGATTCTGTAGTTTTATTGTATTTAGTTCAACAAAAAAGTAGTGTGCTATTCAGTATTATCATTTTGGAGTGTAGCTTAGATGAGCCTGGCCCGGGTGTAGAAAGACTCCAAATCTGTTATATTGATCTTTAATAGATATAACCAGTAAAGTCAACTTTTTAAGTTTTAATGGAATGTAAAATGTATTTAAAGTAATAAAAAAAATTGCTTGCCTTTTACAGAAAGAGTTTAATTCTAGAGGAGAGTTTGAGGAACACAAGGCATCGGCGAGTCATCGTGTCAGCTGGCTCAAACACTGGTACCAAACCAACAGGTATGTGCTTGAGGTTATTGGTGTGTCAGAGTATTGGTATTGGTGGTGGCCTAAAATTTAGTATAAATATTGGCAAGGTAATATTTCGTGAAGTGATGCAGGGAAACTGGTTTGCCGGACTTGAGTCCTGGAGGTGGGAAGTCCAATGCCTGCACTTTAAAGGAGAGGTTTGGGATATTTGCTGTTTAGAGGGACATCAAAACTGTCGTATCTGTGCAACTCTGGCAAGACAGTGATAGTGCAAATGATGGTGAAAGTGTTTCTTTTTTGGGTCACCCTGCCTCAGTGGGAGACAGCCAGCATGTTAAAAAAAAAGAGATGTAGTGTCATGTCATCACTAAGTATGTTTTATTTTGAAGCATTTAGTGAAGTGTGGCTTATATAGTAAGTACAAAGAAAACAAATTCTAAATCTAATATAAAGCACATTAAAAATGGTCAGGCAATATTAAGAAAATGCCCTTTCTGTATGTTGAAAAGTTTAGATAACTGTTTTCTGTTCCTGTCTTTTAGGAAATCCAGTTTTATTAATTTGTAACTAACATTCCAGCTGATTTACAAAAATTTTAACATGATTGTAAACAACTTGGCTAATGACCAGGGCTCATACCCATGGCAAGCCCAGTTTAACCCCTAAACTGTGGTATACTTGCAAATGAAAAGTCCTGTGTGTGTAGGGGAGGGGAGGGGGAAGATTTAAAAAAAATAAATTTCTTGTAGAATGAAAGAGTGTATTTTTTCTGAATAAAATAAGACTAAATTGAGTGGAATGTGATAAAACTAACAATTTTATTGTGTGTTGAAGTTGGCTACAAAATAACTCTTCAGCAACAGGAGCATAAATGCATATTATGCTACTGTAATAGAAATTTTTCTTTCATGGGAGGTGGTCATGTGTAATTATTTGTGTCCTGGAGGTGGGATGTACAATGCCTACACTTTAAAGGAGGGATTTGGGATATTGACTGTTTGGAAGGACATCTAAACTGTCGTATCTGAGCACCTCTGCAAAGACATTGATTATGTATGAATGATGGTGAAAGTGTTGAATGATGGTGAAATCTTTTTCTCTCTTTTTGAGTTTTTCTTTTTGGGTCACCCTGACTTGGTGGGAAGTGGCTGACATGTTAAAACAGAAAATTCTTCTTAATTGAGGTACAGTTATAATTGCCTCTTATGTAGTGTATCCTGCTTCCAGGCTACTCCTTGCCCAAGACAAGAATGGAGTTGTTATCTGTCCACAAGGAAACCAGCATAATGTCACCCTTGAGGAGAAATCTGGCATTATATCAGTCAAACTTGGGCCAGGTATTGATACGTACATTATTTCCAGTACAGATATTACTGCAGTTTCAGTAAATTTCTTAATTAGTGTTTTGGCATCTACATGAACATTTTTGGTAGTTGAGCTCCAGATTTTGAACCTTATTACACTTCATTTAGTTCAGTAATAATGGAATAAACTTGTATTAAAATGATAATATAAAATTTTCCACATAGTCTCTAAAGTATTTTACCACAGAACAGTTACATATATCTTTCTGGAATATATTTAGTAAGTTACGGTATTATACAATATATAAGAACTTATAGTGTCAGGTTGAGTGATTAGTCTGTTTTTGGGATGGATCTCTCTGATTTTTGAGCTGAAAACTTTAATATTTTAACTACACAAGACTTTTTACTGTAATGGGACTGGGAGAATGACCTTCCTTCAGTGGAATCTTGCAAAGAGGCTTTCTCTGAAACCATCTCACAATGTCTGGAAACAAGGATATGTAAGAGGTATCGCTGCTGGTGGGTTATTATTATTATATATACTAATAAGTCTTGGACCTAATTGCAATATCTTGGGGATTCCACTAGTTATAATTGATTGTCCTTGTTTTTCTGCTTGAAAAGCAGTATTGCACATAGGGAACAGAGGGTGGTAGAGAATTTGCATAGAGCCAGCATACTTAGTGAGGGAAGACTACTAATAGGCAAGAAAGTGGGTATGTGCTTCCTTGTTCTGCCCTCTTTAGTACTGTGTATTGGTATATTTAAAATAAACATTAGTAGTCCTATTCAAGGTTTGTTTGATTCATCTGCAGGTGGGCAGAAATCTGTTCAGATCCTGATCAAAAACACAGGCAGTGAGCCAGTCATCTTACGGCAGATTGAGATGCTTCATAGCTGCCCTCAAGTCTCGCTCAACGATCACTATGGTGTTGTACGTGGCGAGAGATTTGTCAGAGTTCTCTCGGGTAAATTTTCTTAAGTATTAATTATAATTTTTGGATAAATTTATGCTTGCACAGATTAAGTATACAGGTATCAAAAACAATTTTGATTCACCGAAAGCAGGCACTTTTTTTAAAAAATAGTTGCAGATAATTCAAATTAATGCCATCATTTGCATCAAATTTCACTTTTGCGTGATACATTAAGCAGTCAACTTTATAAATACTGAAACCTCTCACTATAAAGTGAGTAGATTCATAGGAGTCAGATAATGCAAATCATCGTCATCATTCAACAAACCGGCCATATCCCACCGAGGTGGGTTGGCCCAAAAGGAATAATGGAAGTTTCTCCTTTTAAATTTAGTAATATATACATGAGAAGGGGTTACTAGCCCCTTGCTCCCGGCATTTTAGTTGCCTCTTATGACACGCATGGCTTACGGAGGAAGAATTCTGTTCTACTTTTCCTTGGAGATGCAGTAATGTAAATATTCTAAAATTTAAGAGGAGAAATAAAAGTGCTTGATTATCTAATTTTGTCTGTATTCCTTATAGGTGTGGAGTATGCTGTGGAGTGCCACACACAAGGAGCATCACTAGGAGTGTATCAAGTACCTGTTGCTTTTCAGTTTAAACCTGAGCAGGCTGATGAGCTATTTTTTATTGTCAGAACAGTGGTGAGTTTTTTTTATTTTCCCTCTTGTTTTTTTTTTATTGGGAATAGCAAGGCGTGAGTACAGTTTTCCTGTATTGCTTAACAATCACAGTTACATAGGTTTGATTTACACTGTTGAATTTACATAAAATATATTTTGTGAATATTTTGGATCAGATTTTTTTTACCAAGAATAATTTATTTGATTATACTGATTGTTGCCAAATCATTGCAGTCAAATGTAAAATAATAATTATTGGTGAAGTGACTAGGTGGCATCCAGTATGTGATCTTTGAGGAAGAGAGATTTAGCAGCATCTCTATACGTGGTATACCTATATGTATATATCTGGGTTAGTATTACGAGGCACAAGAGTTTCCCTGCCTCCTAATATCATATTTATTTTTCCCATATAATCTACCTTCGTCCATAATTACTTTCGCATTTGCCTTGTCTGCTTTCGTAAGGTGAAATCTAGGATCTTTCCTTAATTCATGAAATAACTTAACAAATCTTTGAGGATAATTGTGTTGCAGAGGTCTGAACAAAGCTCAGAGTAATTATGGACAAGTTAAATTATAGGGAAAAAAAAATAACACTACAAGACAGGGGAACTAACATCCCGCTCAAAGAGCTAAAGTTCCCTTCTCCCAGTTTTTTTATCTTAAATATATTTGTCAAGCTTAAAGTTTAAATACTGTTTATTAATAAATAATACAGCATTAAAGCTCTCTTACAGCTTGGAAAGATGCAGTCTACCTATTCCTCCCCTTTTTTCTTTCGTGCTTTATATCAGTTATATGTACTTAGAGTACCGTCAAACCTCAGTTTTTGTATGCCCTAGTTTTCGTAGGATTCGGTTTTTGATGACTTTTTTCATCAAAATTTTGTCCCAGTTTTCATACATCTGCTCGGTTTTCGTAAAATTGAAAATGGTCAATACCAAACTTTTCCACCTGCCCATGTGACTCGGCCACTCAAGCGCATCCCATGCGTTCGTGACTGTCTGCCTTTGTTTCCCGTTGAGTGAGCATCACCCTACACATTCATTTGAAACATTTCATGATCATTGTTTTTAGTGCTTGTTTATTGAGTGCGACTGCTAAATAAGACACCATGAGGCCAAAGAAAGTTCCGAGTGCCAGCCCTTTGATAAAGAAGGCGAGAAACATGATAGAATTCAAGAAAGAACTCGTAGCAAATTACAAAAGTGGCGTATGCATGGCCGATCTTGCCAGGATGTACGGGAAGTCTGCATCAACAATCGGTTCCATCCTGGTGAAGAATGGATAAATGTGCTAACGAAACAGACACCTCTGGACAGATTTTTCGTGCGACAGGGGTCCAATGACTCGAGCTGGTCCTAGTGCCAATAAAAGACAAAGAAGGGAAGTAACCGTGATACCTGAATTCCTTATGGATGGGGATTCCCCTTCCAAACAGGAACCTCTCACCCTCCCTCTCCCCTCCTCTCTGTTTTCCATACGCCAACAAGTATCTTTAATTAAGGTAAAAGTGATGTTAAATGTTCATTTATCCATTTCATTAGTCATTTATATTTATTTCTCATTGTTTTCTGTATGTAAAAGTATAGTTATTCTCTATAAAATGTATTTTTTGTTAATATTTTTGGGTGTCTGGAATGGATTAATTGGGTTTACATTATTTCTTAGGGGGAAATATTGCTTCAGTTTTCGTACGATTTGGTTTTCATCAGATTTTTTCGAACGGATTAATCATAGAAACCAAGGTTCCACTGTATTCTAGATTTGCCATCTTGAAACTTGTGATGTAGTATTTTTATGCAGTGCTGTAATGCCTATGTGGGTTTAGTGTTTAGCTTTGATTGTAATAATAATAATACGTATATGTAATCTTTTATATATCCATTTCTTTCTAGGTGTTCTATTAACTGGTAATTTCCTTATTATTTTCTCTGGTACCTTAGCCAGCATGCTAGTCAGAAAAAGTTAGTCAAATGGTGGTGCAGTTCTATTCAACTATTTTTTTTTTTTTTTGTATATTGAGGTACCTTTCAGTTTTCCAGTTGTCCAACAGTTTTCGTATTTCTATTGATGTTTAGATCCTTGCTGTTGGGTTGCACAGTTCCTCCTCTGCTCCTTGCAATACCTAAGGTGATAGCCTATCTGATCCTGCTGCTTTAATTGTACATATTATATCCTCTTGACCAATAAGGTGTATATATTTGGGGTGGATGAAAGGAAGGGATGGGATCATCTAGGAAGGGTTGAAGGGATGGTGTGAAGGTGGTTTTAAGTGGTTGGAGTGTGAGCATCCAGTAGACATGTATGAGCATGTGAGATCAAAATGAGTGGGGTGGTGATTTTTAGGGTTTGACATACTACTAGAGTGTGAGGAGAGTAACATTGATGAAGGGATTCTGGTAACCATTTAGCTGGAGTCCTGGAGGTGGGATGTACAGTGTCCTATACTCTGAAAGAGGGGCGGTGATGTTGCGATTCGGAGGATCATTTGAATTGTGATGTTTGCTCATTTCTAGCTAAGACAGCTATTGAGTGAATGATAGTGAATGTTTCCACTTTTTTTATTGTCATGGGAGATGGCCAGTTCAGCATAAAAAATGGTATAAACCTTGGTAATAAATACCGACAAGTTGGTTTAGAAAGACACGTAAGCAAACACTATAACATGTTTATTAGAAAACGTTAAGGTCCTGGGACCTTGATCAGGGTCCCAGGACCGAAACGTTTTCTAATAAATATGTTATAGTGTTTGCTTACGTGTCTTTCTAAACCAGCATAAAAAATAAATGCTTATGATTCCTCTCATTTTATCCATTGTCTTTATTACATCATCATCTGTTATATTTCCCATCCCTTTCTTCCTCAAGGCTAATTCCATGATTCCACAGTGAAGATATTTTTAACCCTTAAACGGTCCAAACGTATATATACGTTCACATGCGTAGCGCCCCAAACGTATATATATGTTTTCTGTCATTCATTCAACATTGCCACGATAAGCCTGAGTCAACTAGACATGAGAGAATGGGTGTGCGCACTCACTGTGCACCATATTAAAATAATTGGGGATGCCTGGGTACCATATGCTCTTTTTTCCTATTAAAAAAAGAATTTTTTTTCTCAAAAAATTTGGGGCGCTACGCGAGTGAACGTATATATACGTTTGGACCGTTTAAGGGTTAAGCCGCTTAGTTCTGCCTTAGCATGATAAAACAAATTCCAGGTTTAAAGGTGGAAAACAAAAGATCTAGCAGCTTTTCATGATAATGCTGCTGCAAAAGTTTTTAAACTCATTAATTTAGAATAGATCTTTCCATAAAATGTTGTAAAACAAAATGTCTTGCATTACTTTTATGTGATCTTTATTCCTCCACTTTTCTCTTCAACCAGCAAGTAAAAGTCTTCGATAGTGTAGCTGAGGAGTCTTCAGCAAAGTCTCCATATGAAAAACAACACTTGAGTTACCCAATTAGCCGTGATTATGGCTCTTATATTCCTGGCATCCCTCTTAAACAGTGAGTTAAATTTTCAATTTACTTCAAATGGTACTATTTTTAAGATACTGTGTTACCTTACAATATCCACCTTTTAGGTAACTGTTGAACTTATTCTTGCCATCTTTTTTTGGAGGGTGATTGAACATTCACCTTCAAACTTATTTTTTTTTTTCCAACAAGTCGGCCGTCTCCCACAGAGGCAGGGTGACCCAAAAAAAGAAAGAAAATCCCCAAAAAGAAAATACTTTCATCATCATTCAACACTTTCACCTCACTCACACATTACCACTGTTTTTGCAGAGGTGCTCAAAATACAACAGTTTAGAAGCATATACGTATAAAGATACACAACATATCCCTCCAAACTGCCAATATCCCAAACCCCTCCTTTAAAGTGCAGGCATTGTACTTCCCATTTCCAGGACTCAAGTCCGACTATATGAAAATAACCGGTTTCCCTGAATCCCTTCACTAAATATTACCCTGCTCACACTCCAACAGATCGTCAGGTCCCAAGTACCATTCGTCTCCATTCACTCCTACCTAACATGCTCAAACACGCTTGCTGGAAGTCCAAGCCCCTCGCCCCCAAAACCTCCTTTACCCCCTCTGTCCAACCCTTTTGAGGACGACCCCTACCCTGCCTTCCTTCCCATATAGATTTATATGCTTTCCATGTCATTCTACTTTGATCCATTCTCTCTAAATGACCAAACCACCTTGACAACCCCTCTTCTGCCCTCTGACTAATACTTTATTAACTCCACACCTTTTCCTAATTTCCACACTCCGAATTTTCTGCATAATATTTACACCACACATTGCCCTTAGACAGGACATCTCCACTGCCTCCAACCATCTCCTCGCTGCTGCATTTACCACCCAAGCTTCACACCCATATAAGAGTGTTGGTACTACTATACTTTCATACATTCCCTTCTTTGCCTCCATAGATAACGTTTTTTGACTCCACATATACCTCAACGCACCACTCGCCTTTTTTCCCTCATCAATTCTATGATTAACCTCATCCTTCATAAATCCATCCGCCGACACATGAACTCCCAAGTATCTGAAAACATTCACTTCTTCCATACTTCTCCTCCCCAATTTGATATCCAATTTTTCTTTATTTAAATCATTTGATACCCTCATCACCTTACTCTTTTCTATGTTCACTTTCAACTTTCTACCTTTACACACATTCTCAAACTCATCCACTAACCTTTGCAATTTTTCTTTAGAATCTCCCATAAGCACAGTATCATCAGCAAAAAGTAACTGTGTCAATTCCCATTTTGAATTTGATTCCCCAAAATTTAATCCCACCCCTCTCCCGAACACCCTAGCATTTACTTCTTTTACAACCCCATCTATAAATATATTAAAGAACCATTGTGACATTACACATCCCTGTCTAAGACCTACTTTTACTGGGAAGTAATCTCCCTCTCTTCTACACACCCTAACCTGAGCCTCACTATCCTCATAAAAGCTCTTTACAGCATTTAGTAACTTACCACCTATTCCATATACTTGCAACATCTGCCACATTGCTCCTCTATCCACTCTATCATATGCCTTTTCTAAATCCATAAATGCAATAAAAACTTCCCTACCTTTATCTAAATACTGTTCACATGTATGCTTCAATGTAAACACTTGATCTACACATCCCCTACCCACTCTGAAGCCTCCCTGCTCATCCGCAATCCTACATTCTGTGTTGCCTCTAATTCTTTCAATTATAACCCTACCGTACACTTTTCCTGGTATACTCGGTAAACTTATTCCTCTATAATTTTTACAATCTCTTTTGTCCCCTTTCCCTTTATATAAAGGGACTATACATACTCTCCGCCAATCCCTAGGTACCTTCCCCTCTTTCATACATTTATTAAACAAAAGTACCAACCACTCCAACACTATATCCCCCCCTGCTTTTAACATTTCTGTCATGATCCAAACATCATTCAAACTTATACTAAACCAAATCAGAAACTCTGACCTTGGGTTGGATCCATTAAACTGTTCATGCTTACTGTTGTGCATTTTGCATATTCAGTAACCTAAACAGCTATTCTAGCAGACTTGAGGCTATTCTTAGAAAGCTATAATTGATTCAGATAAATGGGTCTAAAATAAGGAATAACTTTACCAGTGAGAGTTGAAATGTGCACTGCTCATTAAATTTAAAAATTTCTTGTAGGTTCCCTAGACTCCCCCATTTCTCTGCTGAGTTAATGAACCTTCCTTTCTGTCCCTTTCCTTCTGTTTAGCTTTAATAGCTTTACTGTTAAAAGTTACTTCATATTTGCACAACATTCAACTGCAGAGGATGGAGTAAGGCAAAACATGAATTATGATATTTATTAATTTTAGTACAGTATGATTTTAAGGGCAATAGTTAGAGCAGTTTATGTACAGTATTTTGGTTAAGGGGTGTCCAGATGCCTTTTCTTATAGTAGTTTTAAGTTTGTAGTTCACCAAACCAGGTTCAGAGTACAGCCTAACCTACTAACCCATAGTGAACTAAATTTATCATCATTTTGAGTATTGTATCTGTTGGCTGTAGATCTGTTATTGTTGTCATTAGTGTTAATATAATTAATCTTTTTTTGTGATATATTTGTAATATAATCAATATAACCATTTTCAACTTGTGTATTTCTATTTTTTTATGATTTATTTTAGGCTTGCCCAAAATGCTCTTCATAATCTTTTAAGAAAAATAAGCTCCCATTTAATATGTTTTATAAATCTTCTTTCTTTCAACACACTGGCCGTATCCCACCGAGGCGGGGTGGCCCAAAAGGAAAAATGAAAGTTTCTCCTTTTACATTTAGTAATATATACAGGAGAAGGGGTTACTAGTCCCTTGGTCCCGGCATTTTAGTTGCCTCTTACAACACGCATGGCTTACGGAGGAAGAATTCTATTCCACTTTCCCATGGAGATATGAGGAAATAAACAAGAACAAGAACAAGAACTAGAAAGAAAATAGCAGAAAACCCAGAAGGGTGTGTATATATATGCTTGTACATGTATGTGTAGTGTGACCTAAGTGTAAGTAGAAGTAGCAAGACATACCTGAAATCTTGCATGTTTATGAAACAGACAAAAGACACCAGCAATCTTACCATCATGTAAAATGATTACAGGTTTTCGTTTTACACTCGCTTGGCAGGACGGTAGTACCTCCCTGGGCGGTTGCTGTCTTCCAACCTACTACCTAGGATGTTTTATAAATATTGTATAATGATTCTTGCAGTATTCTCTCAAAAATTATTTGAAATTTTGCCATATCCCAAAGAGCAAGAGGGGATGGCTTGGAGGATGTATAAATCTGTACTGGAGGGGAGGAGGGGTAGGGGTTGTCCTAGGAAAGGATGGAAGGAGGGGGTAAAAGAGGTTTTGTGTGCAAGGGGTTGGACATGCAGCAGGCTTGTGTGAGCATGCTAGGGGTGAATGGAGATGAATGGTTTTTTGGGACCTGACAAGCTGTTGGAGTGTGAACAGCGTAATATTTTGTTAACCCTTTCAGGGTTGCCAGGCCCTCTCCGAGACTAGTTCTCAAGGTCGCCAAATTTAAAAAAAAAAAAAAAAAATTCTTATGTAAAGATAGAAAATCTTTTCCGATTATAATGACACGAAAAGTATGAAATTTGATGGAAAACTTACGAAATTATGCTCTCGCAAAGTTAGCGGTTTTGACGATGTTTACACATTGGCGATTTTGCCCACTTTGAGCCCTATTTTCGGCCAATTCCAGTGTACTAGTTGACAAAAATCATAACTATTTCGCTAGAACTCCATTTTTTCTATTGAATGAGTAAAAGAAACCACCCATTTACCAATTTCAGCTATCCAATACAGTGGTCAGAATTTAGCAATTTTGCCAATTTCACATAAAATTTCAAAAGATGCCAATTTCCAAATAGGGTCCAGAATAAACAAGAAAGACATTCCTGGCACTACAATAACATTTCCTCTGTTCATTAGTCACGTCCCCACACCCCTCCTACATTATTTTGCTTTCCACTTTGAATTTTTATTCTCACAAAAAAATAGAAGATTTACTGTTATGCAGACTACTGCATTAGTGTAGAAATGGTGTAAATAATATCGGCGCACTTGTGAAAGAATATTAGACTCGCCAGTTGACGTGTATTGGACGCTTAGCATGATTTGTTTACTTTTGAACTTTGGTAAAAATCGAACATTTCTGCTACTTTGAGCTCAATTTCAAGGTACTTTTCATTGTAAAACCAGTCAAAATCATCTCAATTTCTGTAATATGTCTTCCATTCTATAAAATGAGACCAGGAAAACTAGAATACAACAATAAATACCATACGAAAATACAGTGCAAAGTCGTTGTTTTAATCAAAAAACATGGTCAGTTTTTTTTTTATCATTACACACTGTTTGCTGCAGGATTTTTTTTATACTGTGCACACTGACCATATAGACCCATTCTTTCATATTTAGGCCTACCATCTTTCTCCCACTAGATTTGAGGGCGCTAGAATTTAGGCATACTAGTATGTCAAAAACCCTGGTGTGTAAGCCGTACTAGTATGGCCGAAACCCTGAAAGGGTTAAGGGATTCAGGAAAGTCTGTTAGCCAGACTTGAGTCCTGGAGGTGGGAAGTACAATGCCTGCACTTTAACCCTTAAATGGTCCAGATAGATCGACATTCAAATCCGTAGTGCTCCTATAGTAGATCTACGTTTTTTTTACATATTTTCAAATATAACAAAAAAAAAATGTAGAAAAAAGTTTTTTTACACACTTTCAAATGTAAAAAAAACAAAGATGATGTACATTTGTTTACATACTTTCTAATGTTGTAAAAACGTATATATATGTTTGGACCGTTTAAGGGTTAAAGGAGGGGTTTGGAATATTGACTGTTTGGAATGAAATCTGAACTGCCATATGTGTGCCTCTACAAAGATGGTGATTATAGGTGAATGACTATGAAAGTGCTTCTTTTTTGGGTCACCCTGCCTTGGTGGGAGATGGCCAACGTATTGAAAAAAAAATTTAACTATTTGGTGTTTTTTCAGATGAGAAAAATTCTAAATTTAAACTAGGAACATTTCTCATTTTGGGTATTTTTTTTTTCTGATCAGGAAGGAATGTCTGATTTTTTGTTAATCCTGCACTCAGTGAATTACAGATAAGATAATTTTTTTTTTTCAAACAAACCTTCTGTTTCCCATCGAAGCAGGGTGGCCGAAAAAGAAAAACGAAAGTTTCTCTCTTTAAATTTAGTAATGTATACGAGAGAAGGGGTTACTAGCCCCTTGCTCCCGGCATTTTAGTTGCCTCGTATGTCACGCATGGCTTATGGAGGAAGAATTCTATTCTACTTCCCCATGGAGATATGAGGAAATAAACAAGAACATGAACTAGTAAGCAAATAAAAGAAAACCCAGAGGAGTGTGTATATATACACCTACCATCCGACTTACGACCTGCTCGACTTATGACCACTCGACTTACGACCGTGTTTTTTATGCCAAATTTCTGGGAAATAAACAGCTATTTGTGTTGTACACAGTGTTTATCCTAAACCTTAGAGTATAAAATACAGTACTAACAACATAAAAAGTAAAGTAAAACATGAAATACCAAAATAAAACAATAAAATAGTCATTACAAAAATGTTTTGTTGATATTCAGTAGTAAAGTTCGACTTACGACCATTTCGACTTACGACCGGTTTCTCGGAACCGAACTCGGTCGTAAGTCGGATGGTAGGTGTATATTTATATATATATGCTTGTACATGCATGTATTGTGTGACCTAAGTGTAAGTAGAAGTAGCAAGACGTACCTGAAAAGATCAGATAAATATTATTCATTATACTTTCTTGAACAGAAATCTTGTTCTCTTGGTTTTTCTCAAGTTTTTTCATATGTGTGTATGTGTGCTTGTGAGTGTGCTTATGCATATGTGAGTTTACGTTTGTATTATTTATTGATTTATTAATATATTTTTTCAGGAATAATGAGGATGGCTTACCGAAGATTATTCCTCTGGAACATTACAAATGCAAGCAGAGTTTGCGGTCAATAGCTTATAAAAACTTCAATCCAAATAAAGTTGATTCAAAGCATGTAGCAGAAACCAGAAAATTAAAGTAAGTATTTTAAAATGGTCTTACTTGGCTAATTCTTCTTCTTTCAACAAATCGGCCGTTTCCCACCAAGGCAGGGTGGCCCAAAGAGTAAAACAAAAGTTTCTCTTTTAACTTTAGTAATGTATACAGGAGAAGGGGTTACTAGTCCCTTGCTCCCGGCATTTTAGTCGGCTCTTACGACACGCATGGCTTACAGAGGAAGAATTCTGTTCCATTTTCCCATGGAGATAAGAGGAAACAAGAATTAGGAAGAAAATAGAAGAAAACCCAGAGGGTTGTGCGTGTGTATATATATGCTTGTACATACATATGTCTTATTAGAAGACACATGTTTGTAAAGGTAGAAAGTTGAAAGTGAACATAGAAAAGAGTAAGGTGATGAGAGTATCAAATGATTTAGATAAAGAAAAATTGGATATCAAATTGGGGAGGAGGAGTATGGAAGAAGTGAATATTTTCAGATATTTGGGAGTTGATGTGTAAGGAGATGGATTTATGAAGGATGAGGTTAATCATAGAATTGATGAAGGAAAAAAGGTGAGTGGTGCATTGAGGTATATGTGGAGGCAAAAAATGCTATCTATGGAAGCAAAGAAAGGAATGTATGAAAGTATAGTAGTACCAACACTCTTATGAGTGTGAGGCTTGGGTTGTAAATGCTGCAGCGAGGAGGTGGTTAGAGGCAGTGGAGATGTCCTGTCTAAGGACAATGTGTGGTGTAAATATGTAGAAAATTCGAAGTGTGGAAATTTGGAGGTGTGGAGTTAATAAAAGTATTAGTCAGAGGGCAGAAGAGGGTTTGTCGAGGTGGTATGGTCATTTAGAGAGAATAGATCAAAGTAGAATGACATGGAGAGCGTTTAAATCTGTAGGGAAGGGAAGGCGGGGTAGGGGTCGTCCTCGGAAGGGTTGGAGGGAGGGGGTAAGGGAGGTGTTGTGGGCGAGGGGTTTGGACTTCAAGCAAGCGTGCGTGAGCATGTTAGATAGGAGTGAATGGAGACAAATGGTATTTGGGACCTGACGAGCTGTTGGAGTGTGAGCAGGGTAATATTTAGTGAAGGGATTCAGGGAAACTGGTTATTTTATATAACTGGACTTGAGTCCTGGAAATGGGAAGTACAATGCCTGCACTCTAAAGGAGGGGTTTAAGATATTGGCAGTTTGGAGGGATATATTTTGTATTTTTATATGTATATACTTCTAAACTGTTGTATTCTGGGCACCTCTGCAAAAAAGTGATTATGTGTGAGCGAGGTGAAAGTGTTGAACGATGATGAAAGTTTTTTCTTTTTGGGATTTTCTTACTTTTTGGGTCACCCTGCCTTGGTGGGAGACGACCGACTTGTTGAAAAAAAAAAAAAGTGTAGTGTGACCCAAGTGTAAGTAGAATTAGCAAGATGTACCTGAAATCTCGCATGTTTATGAGACAGAAAAAAAGACACCAGCAGTCCTACCATTATGTAAAACAATTACAGGCTTCGTTTTACACTCACTTGGCAGAATGGTAGTACCTCCCTGGGCGGTTGCTGTCTACCAACCTAGTACCTAGGTATTACTTATACATCTTGATATAAATCCAAGTAATCTGTTTTTGCACATACTTGATCACTGTTGTCTTGGCTTCAGATTTCTCCTTACCATGACTCCCAAGTTTTTTTCACACACCATGATTAAGCTCTACATCACCTAGGTTATAAGTATGAGGGTTACTTATGTTTCCAAGGACTAGGATTACACTTGTCCACATTGAACTGCATCTGTAACTTTTCAGACCATGACTTTCATTTTTCTAAATCCTGCTGAAGCTCATAGTTGTCCTCCTCAGAATCTTTCAATCTGCCTATTTTTGTTTCATCAGTGTGGTGTAAATATTACACAGAAAATTCGGAGTGTGGAAATAGGAAAAGGTGTGGAGTTAATAAAAGTATTAGTCAGAGGGCAGAAGAGGGGTTGTTGAGGTGGTTTGGTCATTTAGAGAGAATGGATCAAAGTAGAATGGCATGGAAAGCATATAAATCTATAGGGGAAGGAAGGCGAGGTAGGGGCCGTCCTCGAAAGGGTTGGAGAGAGGGGGTAAAGGAGGTTTTGTGGGCAAGTGGCTTGGACTTCCAGCAAGCGTGCGCGAGCGTGTTAGGAGTGAATGGAGACGAATGGTACTTGGGACCTGACGATCTGTTGGAGTGTGAGCAGGGTAATATTTAGTGAAGGGATTCAAGGAAACCGGTTATTTTCATATAGTCGGACTTGAGTCCTGGAAATGGGAAGTACAATGCCTGCACTTTAAAGGAGGGGTTCGGGATATTGGCAGTTTGGAGGGATATGTTGTGTATCTTTATACGTATATGCTTCTAAACTGTTGTATTCTGAGCACCTCTGCAAAAACAGTGAATATGTGTGAGTGTGGTGAGAGTGTTGAATGATGATGAAAGCATTTTCTTTTTGGGGATTTTCTTTCTTTTTTGGGTCACCCTGCCTCGGTGGGAGATGGCCGACTTGTTGGAAAAAAAAAAAAAAAAATTATTCCTTCATCAAGGTCATTGAGCAACAGTGGACCAAAAACTGATCCTTGTGGAATGCCACTAGAGACCTCTCCCCATTCAAGCTTGACCCCATTAATGCAAACTTTTTTCCTCCTATTGGTCAGCCATGCCTTGAACCATGTTATAACTTTACCTCCTATACCATTAGCTGTGACTTTTCTTAATGGCCTTTTGTGAGGTACTCTGTCGAAGGCTTTACTGAAATCCAAATAAAGTACATCATAATCTTTAGTGTTATCTACTGCTAGTAAATTTGTCAGGTAGGAACGACTTGTAGTGAATCCATGCTGAGACTTGTTAATCAAATTATGCTCATTAAGGTGACTTCTAATAATATTGGCTACAACTGGTTGTAATAATTTGCATACTAGAGACGTCAGGCTTATTGAACGGTAGTTTGGCGGAATTGGCTTATCCCCTGAATTAAGTATTGAAATTGTGTTAGCTATCTTCCACATCTTTGGCACAACACCAGTTTGGATTGAAGAGTTTAGGAGGCTCGTTATTGGTTGACTAAGTTCCATCTCACATTCTCTAAGTACCCTTGAATACAATTCGTCATGGGCCAGGGACTTTGTTTTTCGTTTGTCTAATTGTTTGATAATCATATTCCTTGTGACTAATATTATTTAATTTGTTTTTTTCAGGAATTGAATAATTATAATTGTTGGAATATCTTGTGTGAAAATAGACAAGAAATAACTACGTATTAAAAATAGAGCATGTTTCCTGCTCGTTATATCAGTAAGCTGGCCAGGCAATAAGCTGTCATTATCAGTAAGGAAGAATTTAAGGCTACACAAATAATGTTAGACAATGAATATGTAGAAAAAACTTGTCTGACCTATTTTTACACCTGTAATTGATTCCAGGTGTTTACCCTTGTTCATATAATGAATCCTCTCCATCACACAGTCGTCACTAGGGAAGTGAGGTGGCGGGTAAGGTGTTGGAAGATGTAAAGATGTTTTGAAGCATGAGACACAGGCATAACTTAATATGATAATGTTACAGGGCAGAAGCCAGTGTAAAAAACATTTACTGGTTTTTACTTGTGATCTTGTAATGTTTTTCAGTGCAATAAATTTGAATGCTTGTAAGACCAAAATACAAAATAGATAATGTCAATATCAGATTAATGTGTGATTATTGAGTGTCCTTGGAAAGAGAAAAACCACAAACAGGAATTTTTTTAATTCTTCTGAATATACTTAATATATATTGGTACTGTAATTATTTTCAGGGATATGATGAAAGATGGTTTAAATGAAAGAAATTATGTCGACTGGTTTCAAACTATGCTTTGGATTGAAGAGATGCAAATGGAACTTGACATAAGATATTACAGCATGCCTGATGTAACACTAAAGATTGTCCCCCATCTCTACTACAATGCTGCATCATGTGTGGAACTTGAGGTATGTCTAAATTGATCTAACATAGTACTTGTCCTCAAGAATGTGAGTTTGATTTGTGAACTAAGTTGGGCTCAGATGAAGCTTTTGCCACTGCACATTATTTACAGATAAAGAGAGAAGTCTGTTAGTCTGGTGAGGTTTGTTTCCAACATATCAGTTGGGCATTTTTAGGGACTACCTGATAAATCAAGACAGTGATAGTGTGAATGATGGTGAAAGTGTTTCGTTTTTGGGTCGCCCTGCCTTGGTGGGAGATGGCGATGGCCAGCATGTCACAAAAAACAAAAACCTGATAAGTCATGGACAAGTATATGGCAAATCATAAAATTTTATGACTTTTATGAATTTATGCTTTAGTGCACCATTTCTGAAGTTGCAGAGTAAATAAGTCTTAATGTTTCTGTTTCTTATAGGTCCCGGGGCTTTCAGAAAATCGTCCATCCGTCTTACCTGGTGACAATGTGTATGTCACACATGTTGGAAAAAGAAAACCTGTGTATGCTGGTTGTGTCCATAAGCTCAAAGAGAAGTCGATCTACTTAGCTTTCGGTGAAGAGTAAGACACTTTGTATTTCACTGTGTTTAATTACCTAGTATAGCAGAGGTTGTGTTCTAACCCCTGGCCTTTCCCTTTAACTTTCAGTTGAATTATGGCATCTAACTTAGACATGCCTACTTTTTATACCATATGAGGCTTGAGAAGATGCTCCATGTGGAATTTAATCAGCCATATTACTGGCTAAGAAGAAGAAAAACTTTATAAAACTGGGATGCTTAAATGTGCGTGGATGTAGTGCGGATGACAAGAAACAGATGATTGCTGATGTTATGAATGAAAAGAAGTTGGATGTCCTGGCCCTAAGCGAAACAAAGCTGAAGGGGGTAGGGGAGTTTCAGTGGGGGGAAATAAATGGGATTAAATCTGGAGTATCTGAGAGAGTTAGAGCAAGGAAGGGGTAGCAGTAATGTTAAATGATCAGTTATGGAAGGAGAAAAGAGAATATAAATGTGTAAATTTGAGAATTATGTGGATTAAAGTAAAGGTTGGATGCGAAAAGTGGGTCATAATAAGTGTTTATGCACCTGGAGAAGAGAGGAATGTAGAGGAGAGAGAGAGATTTTGGGAGATGTTAAGTGAATGTATAGGAGCCTTTGAATCAAGTGAGAGAGTAATTGTGGTAGGGGACCTGAATGCTAAAGTAGGAGAAACTTTTAGAGAGGGTGTGGTAGGTAAGTTTGGGGTGCCAGGTGTAAATGATAATGGGAGCCCTTTGATTGAACTTTGTATAGAAAGGGGTTTAGTTATAGGTAATACATATTTTAAGAAAAAGAGGATAAATAAGTATACAAGATATGATGTAGGGCAAAATGACAGTAGTTTGTTGGATTATGTATTGGTAGATAAAAGACTGTTGAGTAGACTTCAGGATGTACATGTTTATAGAGGGGCCACAGATATATCAGATCACTTTCTAGTTGTAGCTACACTGAGAGTAAAAGGTAGATGGGATACAAGGAGAATAGAAGCATCAGGGAAGAGAGAGGTGAAGGTTTATAAACTAAAAGAGGAGGCAGTTAGGGTAAGATATAAACAGCTATTGGAGGATAGATGGGCTAATGAGAGTATAGGAAATGGGGTCGAAGAGGTATGGGGTAGGTTTAAAAATGTAGTGTTAGTGTTCAGCAGAAGTTTGTGGTTACAGGAAAGTGGGTGCGGGAGGGAAGAGGAGCGATTGGTGGAATGATGATGTAAAGAGAGTAGTAAGGGAGAAAAAGTTAGCATATGAGAAGTTTTTACAAAGTAGAAGTGATGCAAGGAGGGAAGAGTATATGGAGAAAAAGAGAGAGGTTAAGAGAGTGGTGAAGCAATGTAAAAAGAGAGCAAATGAGAGAGTGGATGAGATGTTATCAACAAATTTTGTTGAAAATAAGAAAAAGTTTTGGAGTGAGATTAACAAGTTAAGGAAGCCTAGAGAACAAATGGATTTGTCAGTTAAAAATAGGAGAGGAGAGTTATTAAATGGAGAGTTAGAGGTATTGGGAAGATGGAGGGAATATTTTGAGGAATTGTTAAATGTTGATGAAGATAGGGAAGCTGTGATTTCGTGTATAGGACAAGGAGGAATAACATCTTGTAGGAGTGAGGAAGAGCCAGTTGTGAGTGTGGGGGAAGTTCGTGAGGCAGTAGGTAAAATGAAAGGGGGTAAGGCAGCCGGGATTGATGGGATAAAGATAGAAATGTTAAAAGCAGGTGGGGATATAGTTTTGGAGTGGTTGGTGCAATTATTTAATAAATGTATGGAAGAGGGTAAGGTACCTAGGGATTGGCAGAGAGCATGCATAGTTCCTTTGTATAAAGGCAAAGGGGATACAAGAGAGTGCAAAAATTATAGGGGGATAAGTCTGCTTGAGTATACCTGGTAAAGTGTATGGTAGAGTTATTATTGAAAGAATTAAGAGTAAGACGGAGAATAGGATAGCAGATGAACAAGGAGGCTTTAGGAAAGGTAGGGGGTGTGTGGACCAGGTGTTTACAGTGAAACATATAAGTGAACAGCATTTAGTTGAGGCTAAAGAGGTCTTTGTGGCATTTATGGATTTGGAAAAGGCGTATGACAGGGTGGATAGGGGGGCAATGTGGCAGATGTTGCAAGTGTATGGTGTAGGAGGTAGGTTACTGAAAGCAGTGAAGAGTTTTTACGAGGATAGTGAGGCTCAAGTTAGAGTATGTAGGAAAGAGGGAAATTATTTCCCAGTAAAAGTAGGCCTTAGACAAGGATGTGTGATGTCACCGTGGTTGTTTAATATATTTATAGATGGGGTTGTAAGAGAAGTAAATGTGAGGGTCTTGGCAAGAGGCGTGGAGTTAAAAGATAAAGAATCACACACAAAGTGGGAGTTGTCACAGCTGCTCTTTGCTGATGACACTGTGCTCTTGGGAGATTCTGAAGAGAAGTTGCAGAGATTGGTGGATGAATTTGGTAGGGTGTGTAAAAGAAGAAAATTAAAGGTGAATACAGGAAAGAGTAAGGTTATGAGGATAACAAAAAGATTAGGTGATGAAAGATTGAATATCAGATTGGAGGGAGAGAGTATGGAGGAGGTGAATGTATTCAGATATTTGGGAGTGGACGTGTCAGCGGATGGGTCTATGAAAGATGAGGTGAATCATAGAATTGATGAGGGGAAAAGAGTGAGTGGTGCACTTAGGAGTCTGTGGAGACAAAGAACTTTGTCCTTGGAGGCAAAGAGGGGAATGTATGAGAGTATAGTTTTACCAACGCTCTTATATGGGTGTGAAGCATAGGTGATGAATGTTACAGCGAGGAGAAGGCTGGAGGCAGTGGAGATGTCATGTCTGAGGGCAATGTGTGGTGTGAATATAATGCAGAGAATTCGTAGTTTGGAAGTTAGGAGGAGGTGCGGGATTACCAAAACTGTTGTCCAGAGGGCTGAGGAAGGGTTGTTGAGGTGGTTCGGACATGTAGAGAGAATGGAGTGAAACAGAATGACTTCAAGAGTGTATCAGTCTGTAGTGGAAGGAAGGCGGGGTAGGGGTCGGCCTAGGAAAGGTTGGAGAGAGGGGGTAAAGGAGGTTTTGTGTGCGAGGGGCTTGGACTTCCAGCAGGCATGCGTGAGCGTGTTTGATAGAAGTGAATGGAGACAAATGGTTTTTAATACTTGACGTGCTGTTGGAGTGTGAGCAAAGTAACATTTATGAAGGGGTTCAGGGAAACCGGCAGGCCGGACTTGAGTCCTGGAGATGGGAAGTACAGTGCCTGCACTCTGAAGGAGGGGTGTTAATGTTGCAGTTTAAAAACTGTTGTGTAAAGCACCCGTCTGGCAAGACAGTGATGGAGTGAATGATGGTGAAAGTTTTTCTTTTTCGGGCCACCCTGCCTTGGTGGGAATCGGCCAGTGTGATAATAATAAAAATAATAAAAAATTACTGGCAAAAGATTGACATCATTCAGAAACAAAAAAATAAATATATATCATAGTTAGAGTATATAAGTTACAGGGAACGTCATAAAGCACTTCGTTTGTACTCGTGGAGAAAAGAAGAGAGAGATATCTCATAATATAAACTTGGGCTTGGACAGACAACAGGCATGTTTGAGCATGTTAAGTAGGAGTGACAAATTGTTTTTGGGACTTGAATTGTTGGAGTGTGAGCAGGGCAATATTTTGTGAAGGGATTCAAGGAAACCGGTTAGCCGGACTTGGGTCTCAGATGTAGAAAGTACAGTGCTTGCCTTCTAAAGTAGGGGCTTGGGATATTTGCTATTTAGAGTGACATCTAAACTGTCGTATCTGTCGTATTAGGCAGGCGGACAGGTCTGGTACGCGGTACTAAACACGGGGCACAGTACGAAACTTGGTACAAAATTGAGCCGTAAAAGGTGGTCTAAACTCGAAGCATACTCTACTCGGAGTATGAAACTCGGGGTTCCACTGTATTGTCTTATATGATACAAAACACTAGAAAAGTAACACTATTAATTTAATACTAAATATCAACAAAACACTAGAAAAGTAACACTATTTAATACTAAATATCACCGTATGCCTATGTAAGGACAGGCTATCCACTTCCATACAAGTCTTGCACACGACCACTTTTTACTGTAGTTTGCAGTTGACTGGAGAGATGAACTGCTCATGCTGAGATGATTAGCATCACACTGCATTTTAAGCGGATACTCTTAACACTTGAGCTCACTGCAATAGCAACTGGAGGCAGCTACAAAATTATTGCTGTAGTACATTGTGCTACAGTTAATTTTATGCAATTATGATTTAACCCTTTCAGGGTCCACAGGCCCTCTCAGAGACTTGTTCTCAGGGTCCCCCAAATTTAAAAAAAAAAAAAAAAATTTTTTTTCTTATGAATAGATAGAGAATCTTTTCCCGATTATAATGGCACCAAAAGTATGAAATTTGATGGAAAACTTATGGAATTATGCTCTCGCGAAGTTAGCGGTCTCGATGATGTTTATGCATCGGCGATTTTGCCCACTTTGAACCCTATTTTCGGCCAATTCCAGTGTACTAGTCAACAAAAAATCATAACTATTTCACTAGAACTCCATTTTTTCTATTGAATGAGTACAAGAAACCACCCATTTACCAATTTCATTTATCCAATACAGTGGTCAGAATTTAGCAATTTTGCCAATTTCACACACATTTCAAAAGATGCCAATTTCCAAATAGGGTCCAGAATAAAAAAGAATGACATTCCTGGCACTAAAATAACAAGTTCTTTGTTCGTTAGTCACATCCCCAGGCCCTTCTTATATTTCTTTGGCTTTCCACTTTGAATTTTTTTCTTACAAAAAATAGAAGATTTACTGTTATGCAAACTACTGCATTAGTGTAGAAATGGTATAAATGATATCACCGCACTTGTGAAAGAATATTAGACTCACCAGTTGATGTGTATTGGACACTTGGCATGATTCGTTTACTTTTGAACTTGGGTAAAAATCAAACATTTCTGCTACTTTGAGCTCAATTTCAAGATACTTTTCCTTGTAAAACCAGTCAAAATCACCTCAATTTCTGTTATATGTCTTCCCTTCTATAAAATGAGACCAGGAAAACTAAATACAACAATAAATACCATATGAAAATACAGTGCAAAGTCGCTCTTTTAATCCAAAAACACGGTCAAATTTTTTTTTTCCTCATTACGCACTGTGTGCTGCAGGATTTTTTTTATACTGCGCACACTGACCACATAGACCCATTCTTTCATATGTAGGCCTACCAGCTTTCTCTCACTAGATTTGAGGGCGCAAGAATTTAGGCGTACTAGTACGTCAAAAACCCTGGGGCATAAGCCGTACTAGTACGGCCGAAACCCTGAAAGGGTTAATATTGGATTGTTAAGTTTGTTTACATTTCTCTCAACTACGATTGGTGCCATGTATGATCTCTTAAGTGTTTGTGTTCATAAGTTTTGATAAAGTTTAACCTTTTATTATAGATTTGTGTATATTTTATGGTAGGCTATTTGGCTCGTCTGCAAGTTTTTTCAAGTTGTTGCAAATCTCCAAAAATCTTCTAATGCATTTATTGAAAAAATTTGCATGTAAGTGGACCCATGCAGTGTGGTGTTCAGGGTCAATTGTATATCAACATTTTTTTTAACACTGGCTTATCATTCAGCATTTCCACTACTCTTCCTTTAGCTCCATTTCTCTCGTATACACCTGACCTTGCTCCAACCTACAGTATGTCGTATTAAACATATATCCACATACAACCTTTATTTTTTTTAATGTCGGCCATTTCCCACCGAGGTAGGGTGACCCAAAAAAGAAAGAAAAACCCAAAAAGAAAGAAAAAATTTTCTTCATTCAACACTTTCAGCATCACTCATACATAATCACTGTCTTTGCAGAGGTGCTCAGATACGACATTTTAGACATCCCTCAAAATGTTTCCATCTATAGTAATTCAGATAAGTGTTTTGTTTAAATTAGAGACATGCCTGATTTTTCTTGTTCAGGATTTTCTGTAATTCATGTACTGTGCATTTATTATTCCACAGCAGTTAGCTACTACTGTATGGTAAAATGTCTAATGAGAACATATGTGAAGGAAGACTGGACTACTACTGTACTGTCATTCACTAAGCACAGATTGATTTACTGTCTACTTATATTACAGGTTCATGGACTCTTTTGTGGACAACATGAGAGTAAGCGTGGACTTTGAATTTAATCGTGGTCCTCTGAAAGTTAGCCACAGAGCCGTAGTTCTAATTGGACAGAGAGCCTCAATGTACCTGACTTTCCCTTCCCCTCCAATTAACAATATTCTACCAGTTCGGAATCTCATGTAAGTGTAATGGAGTTCTCTTCGTCTGTAGCAGTAACCTATCTTCATTTTACAGTTCATCCAGTTTGAAAGGTATTTTTCTTCTTTTAGGTCAGATTTTGTTATATTAATCTTCACGAACTTATTTAACCTTAATCATGTTAAAAAACAGTTGACTACAACACTTCTGCAATTTAGTTGCTGGGCAATCCCAGCCAGTATTCAAAATGCACAGGAATTAGAGTATCAGTCTTGAGGTGGTCTAGGCACTTTAAAGAGGATGGAACAAAATAGGATGACTAGGAGGGAATATAAATGTGGGATGGAGAGAAGAAGGGATAGGGACCATCTCAGGAAGGGTTGGAGGGAGGGGATATAGGAGGTTTTGAGTGCCAGGGTCTTCAACACCCAAGAAGCATTAGATAAGAGTGAAGGGAGGCAAGTAATTTTTTTTGTGGCTTGATTTGTTGGAATTTGAGCTAGGTAACATTTATAAAGGGAAACCAGTTAGCTGGACTTGACTTCACGAGATGTTTGAAAATGCAGTGCCTTCACTCTGAAGGAGGGGTGAGGATGGTGCAGTTTGGAAGGCCATCAAGAGCTGTAATGTCAGCAACTTCAGGCAAGACAGCAGTTGATTAAATGATGGTAAATGTGTTTCCTTCTTTTTTCTGGGTCACTCTACCTTGGTGGGAGATTATCTGAGTAGAAGTAACAAGTTAATCAGGGGGGGGGGGGTTAGGATGGGTTGTTGGAATTCCAACCTCTTACCCACCCTTTACTAGTTTACATTTGACTGCTTAAATGAAAAAATCTAATTTTACTTAATAATGTTTAACCTCATTTTCTAATTGTTATAGAGCAGAAATTATTATATTTACCTGGAGTTTACCTGGAGAGAGTTTCGGGGGTCAACGCCCCCGCGGCCCGGTTAATTTTTAACTTTGTTACAGGCCTTATAATCGCAAGCTTCAGGAAAACAAAGAGCAAATGTTAGCAGTCCACAACATTGTGTCTGGAACATCCAAGCCAGCCCCCTACATAGTATTTGGCCCTCCTGGCACTGGAAAAACTGTTACCATAGTGGAGGCCATCAAACAGGTAGAGTTAATGCAAATGTAAATTTGATGAATGATATGCATGTGCAACATGCACTGTTAGTAACCCTGGATTAAATGGACTTCGGAAATATGAAACAAAATCTTCCGAGTCATTTGACTCAGAAATAGCAAAGTGTTTGGTTTACAGAGTTGTTTGGTTACCGTTATGATTGAGGCAAAACATATTAATCGCTATTCACCACACTCGCCATTATCGACCATCCTTCTCTATTAGACCCTCAGATCAAGGGTTTACCGTGCCGTTTGTTTCCAATTACTGCTAGGGAATGGCAAAGTAGGTTACAGGGACATTCACTTACTAAAAATATGTAATATTGAGGAAGCCTGTATCTTAGAAGACAGTATTTATTTTAGGATCATATAAAAACTTGAAATGGTTGTCTGAGGGCTGAAACCATACTGATATGGTAGGTTTGTTAGAATATGAGATGAATAAATATAAGTGAATTCAAAACAAGAGTTGATGATAAGTTTAAAGGGAAATTTGCTGTTATTGTATTTGGGCTGCATTTTTATAAGGTGTTGGTAACTAGCAGAATCTGGGAATTAAATTTAATCCTAGACGATTGCAGCGCTGTAAGGCAGAGGGATCCAGGTTTTTGAATAGTGGGCCACATTGCGAGAGAGTTGTTTATTTGTATAGGCCTACTGGCCTAGGAGTTCATGTGTGCTAATTTTTTTTTTTTTTTTTTGCTAAAATTCTTAGTTGAGCCTCAATCAAATAGGTCACATTAAACCTGCTGGCCAAATATTGGATGCCTCCACTTTAAGGAGATCATGCATAACATCTGCGAGACTTGTTACAAGATGATTTGTTTTGTCAAGTCCTGCATGCTGCACGAGTCTACGGCTTACAGCTCAACGAAGATAGGTTCATCCTTCCTCTGGGCTGATTTGATATAATGGAAGAGGTACACTTGGAGCAGTGGTAATTCAAATTTAATTTTTTTAAATAATGTATTAAAGAAGTAATAGGTAGTAGGTTGGTAGACAGCAACCGCCCAGGGAGGTACTACTGTCCTGCCAAGTGAGTGTAAAACGAAAGCTTGTAATTGTTTTACATGATGGTAGGATTGCTGGTGTTATTTGTCTGTTTCATAAACATGCAAGATTTCAGGTACATCTTGCTACTTCTACTTACACTTAGGTCACACTACACATACATATACAAGCATATATATATACATACCCCTCTGGGTTTTCTTCTATTTTCTTTCTAGTTCTTTTTTTTTTTTTTTTTTTTTTTTATCACACTGGCCGATTCCCACCAAGGCAGGGTGGCCCGAAAAAGAAAAACTTTCACCATCATTCACTCCATCACTGTCTTGCCAGAAGGGTGCTTTACACTACAGTTTTTAAACTGCAACATTAACACCCCTCCTTCAGAGTGCAGGCACTGTACTTCCCATCTCCAGGACTCAAGTCCGGCCTGCCGGTTTCCCTAAACCCCTTCATAAATGTTACTTTGCTCACACTCCAACAGCACGTCAAGTATTAAAAACCATTTGTCTCCATTCACTCCTATCAAACACGCTCACGCATGCCTGCTGGAAGTCCAAGCCCCTTGCACACAAAACCTCCTTTACCCCCTCCCTCCAACCTTTCCTAGGCCGACCCCTACCCCGCCTTCCTTCCACTACAGACTGATACAGTCTTGAAGTCACTCTGTTTCACTCCATTCTCTCTACATGTCCGAACCACCTCAACAACCCTTCTTCAGCCCTCTGGACAACAGTTTTGGTAATCCCGCACCTCCTCCTAACTTCCAAACTACGAATTCTCTGCATTATATCACACCACACATTGCCCTCAGACATGACATCTCCACTGCCTCCAGCCTTCTCCTCGCTGCAACATTCATCACCCATGCTTCACACCCATATAAGAGTGTTGGTAAAACTATACTCTCGTACATTCCCCTCTTTGCCTCCAAGGACAAAGTTCTTTGTCTCCACAGACTCCTAAGTGCACCGCTCACCCTTTTCCCCTCATCAATTCTATGATTCACCTCATCTTTCATAGACCCATCCGCTGACACGTCCACTCCCAAATATCTGAATACATTCACCTCCTCCATACTCTCTCCCTCCAATCTGATATCCAATCTTTCATCACCTAATCTTTTTGTTATCCTCATAACCTTACCCTTTCCTGTATTCACTTTTAATTTTCTTCTTTTGCACACCCTACCAAATTCATCCACCAATCTCTGCAACTTCTCTTCAGAATCTCCCAAGAGCACAGTGTCATCAGCAAAGAGAAACTCTGACAACTCCCACTTCATGTGTGATTCTTTATCTTTTAACTCCACACCTCTTGCCAAGACCCTCGCATTTACTTCTCTTACAACCCCATCTATAAATATATTAACCCTTTGAGGGTCGACAGGCCCTCTCCGAAACTCGTTCTCAGGGTCGGCCAAATTTAAAAAAAAAAAAAAATTATTTTCTCTTATGAAAAGATAGAGAATCTTTTCCCGATCATAAAGACACCAAAAGTTTGAAATTTGATAGAAAACTTACGGAATTATGCTCTCGCAAAGTTAGCGGTCTCGGCGATGTTTACGCATCGGCGATTTTGCCCACTTTGAGCCCCATTTTCGGCCAATTTCACTGTACTAGTCGACAAAAAACATGAATATTTCGCTAGAACTCCATTTTTTCTTTCTAATGGATGCAAGAAACCACTCATTTATGAAATTCAACTATCCAGTACAGTGGTCAGAATTTAGCAATTTTGCCAATTTCACACAAATTTCAAAAGATGCCAATTTCGGAATAGGGTCCAGAATAAACAAGAAAGACATTCCTGGCACTAAAATGACATTTCCTCTAGTCATTAGTCATGTCTCAAGTCCCCTCTTATATTCTTTTGCTTTCCACTTTGAATTTTTATTTTCACAAAAAATATAAGATTTACTGTTATGCAGACTACTGCATTAGTGTAAAAAATGGTATAAATATTGGTGCACTTGTGAAAGAATATTAGACTCACAAGTTGACGTGTATTGCACGCTTGGCATGATTTGTTTACTTTTGAAGTTTGGTAAAAATCGAACATTTCTGCTACTTTGAGCTCAATTTCAAGGCACCTTTCTTTGTAAAACCAGTCAAAATCATCTCAATTTCTGTAATATGTCTTCCATTCTATAAAATGAGACCAAGAAAACTAGAATACAACAATAAATACCATACGAAAATACACTGCAAAGTCGCTGATTTATTAAAAAAAAATGGTCAAAGTTTTTTTTTTCTCATTATGCACTGTGTGCTGCAGGATTTTTTTTAGACTGTGCACACTGACCACATAGACCATTCTTTCATATGAAGGCCTACCAGCTTTCTCCCACTAGATTTGAGGCCGCTAGAATTTATGAGTACTAGTACGTCAAAAACCCCTACGCGTAAAACGTACTAGTACGACGAAAACCCTCAAAGGGTTAAACACCACGGTGACATCACACATCCTTGTCTAAGGCCTACTTTTACTGGGAAATAATTTCCCTCTTTCCTACATACTCTAACTTGAGCCTCATATTCTCATAAAAACTCTTCACTGCTTCAGTAACCTACCTCCTACACCATACACCTGCAACATCTGCCACATTGCCCCCCCTATCCACCCTGCCATACGCCTTTTCCAAATCCATAAATGTCACAAAGACCTCTTTAGCCTTATCTAAATACTGTTCACTTATATGTTTCACTGTAAACACCTGGTCCACACATCCCCTACCTTTCCTAAAGCCTCCTTGTTTTAAACTGCTATCCTATTCTCAGTCTTACTCTTAATTCTTTCAATAATAACTCTACCATACACTTTACCAGGTATACTCAACAGACTTATCCCCCTATAATTTTTGCACTCTCTTTTGTCCCCTTTGCCTTTATACAAAGGAACTATGCATGCTCTCTGCCAATCCCTAGGTACCTTACCCTCTTCCATACATTTATTAAATAATTTCACCAACCACTCCAAAACTATATCCCCACCTGCTTTTAACATTTCTATCTTTATTCCATCAATCCCAGCTGCCTTACCCCCTTTCATTTTACCTACTGCCTCACGAACTTCCCCCACACTCACAACTGGCTTTTCCTCACTCCTTTTTTTTTTTTTTTTTTTTTTTCAACAAGTCGGCCGTCTCCCACCGAGGCAGGGTGACCCAAAAAAGAAAGAAAATCCCCAAAAAGAAAATACTTTCATCATCATTCAACACTTTCACCACACTCGCACATTATCACTGTTTTTGCAGAGGTGCTCAGAATACAACAGTCTAGAAGCATAAACATATAAAGATACACAACATATCCCTCCAAACTGCCAATATCCCAAACCCCTCCTTTAAAGTGCAGGCATTGTACTTCCCATTTCCAGGACTCAAGTCCGACTATATGAAAATAACCGGTTTCCCTGAATCCCTTCACTAAATATTACCCTGCTCACACTCCAACAGATCGTCAGGTCCCAAGTACCATTCGTCTCCATTCACTCCTATCTAACACGCTCACGCACGCTTGCTGGAAGTCCAAGCCCCTTACCCACAAAACCTCCTTTACCCCCTCTCTCCAACCCTTTCGAGGACGACCCCTACCCCGCCTTCCTTCCCCTATAGATTTATATGCTTTCCATGTCATTCTACTGTGTCCATTCTCTCTAAATGACCAAACCACCTCAACAACCCCTCTTCTGCCTCTGACTAATACTTTTATTAACTCCACACCTTCTCCTAATTTCCACACTCCGAATTTTCTGCATAATATTTACACCACACATTGCCCTTAAACAGGACATCTCCGCTGCCTCCAACCGTCTCCTCGCTGCTGCATTTACCACCCAAGCTTCACACCCATATAAGAGTGTTGGTACTACTATACTTTCATACATTCCCTTCTTTGCCTCCATAGATAACGTTTTTTGACTCCACATATACCTCAACGCACCACTCACCTTTTTTCCCTCATCAATTCTATGATTAAC